GAACAAATTAAAGTACTGTATGACTGATATATGCTAAACTACACCCAGCTACGATTAGTTATAAAGAGATTAAAATGAGGACAAGTCTTCTGTCTTTCCAGTGTTCTTTACTCTGTGTAGATTCAAGTTTCCATCTAGTATCATTCTTCCTCCATCTGAGAACATCTGTTAACATTTATTGTACTGCATATCTACTGGAACAAATTATTTTGGCTTTTATTTATCTGAAAATGTTTTTATTTCATCTTATTTTTGAAATATATTTTCCTTGGGTTCTGAATTCACAAAGCTTTGTTTTTCTTTCTTCCTTTTTTCTCCTTTCTGTGGTTTCAAGAAGTAATTGTATTATCTTTCAGTTTGTGTTATTTCTGAAGAGTCTTACATGGTTTTCCCTATGGAAAACCATATTGAATCCATATTCCCTATGGATAATGCATTATTTTTAATCCTTTTGGGTTGCTTTTAAGATTTTTTTCTCTTTATCACTGAGAACAATTTGATTATGATTTGTCTGTAGTGACTTGCAGCATTTTTTTTTTTTTTTGATACCAGGGATCGAACATGGGACCTTGTGCTTGCAAGGCAGGTGGCGGAACCACTGAGCTAAATCCCAGGCCCTGCAGCATTTTGATTATGTTTTTTTTTCTTGATTGATTCTGATTGAGGTTTGCTTATCATCAAATCAGGAAAATATTTGGCAATTATTTATTCTTGTGTTTTTCTGCAGCCACCACCGGAGAACTCAATTACATATATGTTAGATTCATTGATATTGTTCCACATGTCACTGAGATTCATTTCTTTCCCAGCCTTTTTTTTTTTTTCTGTGACCTTTAGTTGGGATATTTTTCTGTTGACCTATCTAGGAGGTCTCTGACAATGTGTTCTGGGTTATCTAATCCACTGATAGTCCATCCATTGAATTTTTCTATTCAGATCTTATTTTGTCAGCTCTAGAAGCCTCATTTGATATCTCCTCTCTGTCTCCCTCTCTGTCTTTCCCTCCCTCTTTCTCTCTCCCTCCTTTCTCCCTTTTTCCCTCTCTTCCCCCCCACACTTTTCTTACCTTATATATTTATGTTTTCCTTTAAATTAGAATTCAGCAAAGTTTCTGTAATTGGCCAACTAGTACATATTTTAGGTCTTATAGGCCATAGAGTGTCTGTCACAGGCTATATATTACTATTGTAGCACAAACAGAACCAATCAGTGTGTAAATGAATGAATAGGGCTGTGTTCTTGGAACTTTATTTGTAAAGCAGATGGTAGGTAGACTGGTAGTGACCCTGATCCTAAGTTTGCCAATTCCTGCTTTAAATCCTTAAACAGATTTATAATCACTTTTAATATCCTTGTCTGCCAGTTCCATTTTCTCCGACATTTCTGAGTCTATTTCTATTGATTAATTTCTTCTGGTTATAGGTCATATTTTCCTGCTTTTTACATGGCTAGTGATTTTTTTTTTTATTGAATCCAGGACACATGTTAAATTATTGGTTGTATAGGGGTTTTTTTTCCTCCTTTATATAGAATTGATTTTTGGTGGATAGGTGAGTTACCAGTGGGTCGAGCTTGATCTGTTTTCAGGCTTGTTTCAGCCCCCTGGAAGCCCTGAGAAGCAGCCTTCAGGCTAGGGCTGGGTTGGTCCTACTAGAAGGTGTGGCCTTTCTTTCTAGGTTCTTCCCTGAAGGCTGAGTCTCTCTGCTCTGGCTGCTTGAGCACAGATGTTCCCTAGTCCCATATTCCCTCTAAGTACTATGCTGCTTTTAAACCCCCTGGAATTGTTCTTTTCCCATTACTTGTTCTTTGAAGCACACTCTCCTGCAGCCGTGAGCTTCATGGAGTTCCACTTTAGCATGCAGCGCAGCTTTTTATGCCTGTGTCTTATGTGGCACCCAGGCTGACTTAGACAATTCTCCTTCTGTGTAGCTCTTTTCTGGTATTCTATCTCACAAATCCACCTGCCTCGGCTTCCGTGAACTCAGGTCTCTTTCTCAAGTGAGTAAGCCCATCACGCTTTGCTTGGGCTGCTCCTCTTTGGAACACAGATTTTTTTTTTCCCCCAGATATTCAAAAAGCTGGCATCATCATAGGGTCTCCACATTTATATTTCTTCTCTTAATAATTTAATGCCCTGTGCTGCCTGTGGTATGTGTCTGAAAAGAATTTTTTTATAGCTTGTTCAGTTAGCTATTTGCTGAAGGAGTCCACGTCCACTGTCCAATTTATCGTGCTCTGAGGCAAAACCCCTCAGTGACAGGGCAGGATCCCTAGCCTTGCTCCCACTGGTACATGTGGAATTTTGTATTTTATGGTGGTTGTATCCAGTTTACCTTTCCTATTTATACTATAGCTGTATGACTGAGTTACTAATGTTCATTTTGTCACCCCGTCTGGCCCTGAAGCTGAGTAATCATGACTTAATAGTGTGGTTATGGAAAGTATATATCACTTTAGTTGAATGAATGAACAATCTTTAGGGAAAATTCTCTCAAATTGTTGAAAATGTCCTTTTTTAGAATCACTAAAAATTAAAACTCGGTAAATATTTATTTTATTGGATAATGTATTTAAGCTGTAGGTGTACATATTTTAAATCTCTATTTTTGGACTAGGGATATAGCTTTCTCTTTATATATATTCTAGAAAAATCAGTCTCTCTCTCTCTCTCCTGGGAATCAAGCACAGAGCCTCAAGCATCCTAGGCAAATGTTCTAACAAGTGAGCTACCTTTCCAGAACATTTTTGGTTGGTTTTGTTTTTGACAATTCATTTTTAGAGTTCAGCTAGTCTGTACTTATAGCTTGTAGCAAAGGAGAACAGTTACGTGGGATCAGCATAGTTAAACTCTTTGGATTTTTTTTTTTTTATTGGTATTGAATGTCACTTTTGTATTTTCTAATAGTAGAAGTTAGCTTGGGGGGGTTAATTGCTTCTGATAGTAATAATCATATGATAAATTTTTTAAATTAATTTTATTGGTCCAGTTTAGATAATGATAATTTTTTTCTCTCATGATGCAATTATTCTGAATACCACCAACTTTAAGAGTTTGGTTTTTGTTTTCTTTTTGTGTTGTTTTTTACTTGTTTGCTTTTTATAGGATCACAAAAATAATCTTATTTTCCCTAACCTGTTGTAACTCTTTTATGTACATAATATTCAAAGAAACAAGCTGTAGATTTCATGGTTAATCATAACTTTTCAGAAACCTTAGTAATCAAAAGTGTTCTTTTAAAAATCATCTGTGATTATAGTGCAATACTTGTTACTTTTCTGAGGCAAACCAAAGGTATATTTTTCTATGTTTTTGCTGCCTTCTTTAGCAGCATTTGTTGTACATTTTAAATATTTGAAATAGACAAAAATAAACCAGATTACAAATCCTTTTTAAAATCTTAAACCATGTACCAGCTTTTTGGTTGGAATTATGTACGATAAGTTAAATTGCGTTCTCTTAACCAATATGAGTGCGTTTCTGTAAGCATAGTTATGTTGAAATAAAGTTGTGAAGAAAAAAAAAAAAAACTGTGATTTTTTTTTTTTTTTTTGGTACCGGGGATCGAACTCGAGTCCTTGCGCTTGCGCAGTAGGCGGCGAAACCACTGAGCTAAATCCCCAGCTCTAAAACCTTCTCTTTTTTTGGTAGTACCAGGGGATTGAACTCAGGACCTTTCACTTGTGAGGCAGGCACAGTGCCACTGAGCTAGATCCCCGGCCTACCTTCTGTGATTATTTTAAAATAGATTTTTTTGATCCAGAGAAAACCTAATAAATAATACAACTTCATTTTTTATATTTTATTTTAACCTGCTTTATTTTTTAATTTAATGCCTATTTAGGGATAAATGTAGGTTAGATTTATGAACATGGTCCTTTTTAATATTAGCATGATAAGAATTTTTCTATCTTGATAGCAAATTCTTTAATGCTCTTATTTTTATCACATCTTACAGACTTGGTCTTTGAACCACAAATTCTTTTAACTTATGATCTTATAAGACTTATAAAGAGACTACTTTTCTTTGGATCTGACTCATTTATGAAAAGTGAATAGAGAAATCTTTAATAGAAACCTTCAGATTCAGAAATATTCACACATACTCAGGCACATGTATGTGATTCTATGAAGTATTTTTCCTTCAGAGCAGCTAATGGCTAATACCGTACACTAGATGGCATCAGTCTTTGCTTAGGGGCTCCAGGAATTTATATTTTTAACCAACTCCCTCGTTGACTCTTGTGTAGACATCTTATGTATTTAGGAACATTTGTGCTCAAGACTTTATCACAGTCACACATATAAATATGAATTAAATGATTATTCATTCGTAGGTTTTCAAAACAAAGAAACACAGCAACACAAACATTTTCATAGAAAAATTTTCTTTAAAAAATATTTAAAGTGATATTCTCAAATAGTACCTAAAAGGACAGGGGCTTAGGAAGTTTTTATCACAGGGATAACATTCTGACAAGTACATGTGGATAAGTAAAATAAAAATCAAATCAGAACCTGTAGGAGTGGTTGCCAAGGGCTAGGATGAATGGGGTGTGTGGGGGCAGTTGGACTACAGAGGAGCACAAGGGAACTTTTTGCAGTGATGGAAGTCTTCTGTAGTTTGGTCGTGGTTATATGTCTGAGTATGTTTATCAAAGCTTATTGAAATATAGACCTAAAAAGTTACTCTTACAGTATGTAAATTATATCTCAATAAATGTAAATTTTTTTAAAAATCAAGCTAGGTGCTGGGGATATGACTTAGTGGTGCACTGCTTGCCTAGCATGCACAAGACCCTGGGTTCAATCTCTAGAACCTCAATAATAATAATAATAATAATAATAATTATGATGATAAGCCAGGAAGAGATTCAAGAAAGGATTATTTTATCAGATTACTAACTGCATCTTGAAATATGTAAATCTTGTTCTTATATGTACTGATAATTCCTTTTTCATTACTACTTCTCATCAAAGGTTTTATGTATTTGTTTCCTAGGGCCCACACATAGCTTCAGTTACATTAGCTGCTTATGAATGCAATTCAGTTAATTTCCCCGAACCACCCTATCCTGATCAGATTATTTGTCCAGACGAAGAGGGCACGGAAGGAACCATTTCCTTGTGGAGTATCATCTCGAAAGTTAGGATCGAGGCCTGCATGTGGGTAAGATGTGCACTTTCATATTTGTCTAAAACTAACCTATCTTGATAGTGGGTTGTACCTTTTAAGATGAGATCCGAACATAATAAAGAATTCACGAGGTCACTAGATACCTATTTCCAAGGCAAGAGTTCTTTTAAAGTTTCTTCTAGTTTTGAATGACATTCACAAGAAAGGCAAGCAGTTATGCACACCACGAAGCAACTGTCCCAAGGAGACCACAGCCACAGCAGGGAAAAGGAGTACACATGGTAGAACTACACTACTTTGTAAAATTTGTTCTAGTATTTATACACCTGATACCTATTAAGTAGTTAATATGTAAATGCTAGACTGTTAAATGTTGTGTGTCTCCTAGGTTAAAATGCTGCATTTGTTTATTTTCAGAATTGTTATAATGCCACAATATGGTGAGACATTTCTTCATATAAATCAAACTTTGATAACTGTCAGTTTCAGACTATATAGTTGTACATGGTAATCTTACTTTCACTTGCAATAGTCCTTTTTATGTTTTGCTTATCTTAGGAACAATTTTTAGACAACATGTTCAATGACAGGTGTATTTTAATCCACACAAGTTGTTTTGTTTTGTTTTTGCTATGTGCCTAAATTTCTTCAGGTGTCTTATCATTAAGAAATAATTCATTTCAGTTAGTCTTGGTGACTTATACCTGTAATCCTAGTACTTGAGAGGCAGAGGCAGGAGGATTATGAGTTTCAGGCTAGCCTGAGCTACAAAGTAAGACACTGTCTTAAAGAAACAAACCAAATAATAACGATTAATTTTGTTTATTAAAGAATTCTTTTACCATTTGAATTATTTTTTAACTCATTGTTTGAGTTTGTATGTTCCTATACCTTTTTTTACCCTAGCAGTTTCTTAGGAAATAAAAGGATGTGTTTGTTTCTTCGGTACGGAGGATCGAACTTGGGTCCTTGGGCTTTCGAGGCAGGTGGCGGAACCACTGAGCTAAATCCCCGGCCCTGGAAATAAAAGAATGTGAACAGATAGCTTAAAAATCTTAACTCATTAAAATGACCATGAATGCTATAACCTTAAAAGAGGCAGGGTTTTAAAACACAGTTAAATGTTAGCAATTATGTTTTGCTTTAAAAGAATTACAAAGGAAGTGTTGAATATGAAAGAGGAAAAATTGTCATGGTTCCTGTTGTTCTTTTATAAACACTGGAAACAAATTCATTACACTAGTTCAATATGTTTTATAAATTTGAAGACACTAGTCTTTTGATGAAAACATGATTAGAATAACAGCAGATACTTGGAACATACATGAAAAGGGAGTATGTATATAAATTTCAGTTTTGTGTTTTTGTTAACATTATACTTTTGTTCTTTCAAAAATTATTTTTAAGGCTAGAATTAAAACCTAAGGATAAACAGAAAAGCGTCCATTCCCCCTACAGTGTGATAACTGCCTTCTTCAAATTCCATAATATGTTTTGTCAGTAATGCTTATTTGGCCTGACTTCATGCATGCCTTAAATTTATCTCACTTAGTGCCTTACTTCCCCAAATAAAATTTAGGCTCCTAAAGATATACGGACTGTGCCTTAAATGTGTCACCTTCATAGCGGTCAGAATTAGACTTTACACAGAACAGAAGAATGTCAATAAATTCCAAATAATTGATCTAAAGTTTGATCATTCTTATTGTTTCCTTCTTTGGAACTGTTATACAAAACTAGCACACATCGGGCCAGGGATTTGGCTCAGTGGTGCCTTGCCTGCCTAGCAAGCACAAGGTCCTAAATTCAATCCCCAGCACCAAAAAACCACAACAACAAAAAACTAGCACACGTCAAGTGTGGTGGGGCACTCCTGTAATCCCAGAACTTGGGAGACTGAGACAGGTAGATTGCAGCAAGTTCAAGGCCAGCCTGGGCTACATAGTGAGTTCAAAAGCCAGTCTAAACTACATAGTGAGACCCTGTTGCAAAAATATATATATATATATATTTTTTTGGTTCTTACTGTTCTCAACATTTAAAAGAACAGTATATTTAATAAATGCTTCTGGAAAAACTGAATACCCATATGCAAAAGAATGAAGATAAAATCAACCTCAACCTTTATTTCAACTTGTTCATAAATAGTTTCTTGGAGCATATAGAATGAATTAATATTTTTAATTCATAAGCTCTCTTTTTCAGTTTGCATCTATGTTAGTCAGCTTTCCATTACTGTAACAAACACCCATTCATAAAGAAAAATAAGGTTTATGCTGGTTCTTGGTTTTAGAGATTCCAGTCCGTGATTGACTGACCCCATTTCTTTTGGGCCTGTGGTGAGGCGGTATGACATTGCAGCTGGGAAACCCATGGTGATGATTTTCACATCAGGCCAGTGCGAAACAGAAAGAGAAAGTAGGAAACCGGCTTCCCACAGCCCCCTTCAAGGGCATCACCTGAGCCAGTCAGAGTGCCAACACTGCAATTAAACCTGAATGCTGAGGTTTTAGTTTAGAAAAAACAACTCATACATTAACATCATTTGTCTTAAAAAAAAAAACAAAACTAACACGCATGGCATAGGTCCACCACCACTAGTAAGCCACCTGGTAAGGATTCTACCACCCGTAAGATTCCCGAACTGGGGACCTAGCCTTTAACATGTGGATCGTTCAGGGCAGTTCCAGACCCAAACTATTTATAGTAGCATCTTTTTGAACTACCACAATTTGACTATTTAACCGGAACACACCTTTTCAAATTTGCTTTTTAGTCATGAAGTCCATAAGTAGTTATTAAGCATCTAAGTACTGAGGATTCAGTGTCTACTGCGATTGAGTGAAAAAACAAAACAGTTTAGTACTCTAGGGAGATACTATGTTTATCACTTGGTTTGAATGTTTGCAAACATGGGAGTTTAGGGTAATATATTGGTATATGATGATTTTGTAGGCAAGCTTTCTGAATTACTGCTTGATGAAATATGTACCTCTTGTCCTTTTGCAATAAGGAAAAGTCATTCCCTTTAACTAGATATAGGCTAACAGTTTTTAGTGTTCTGTGGTTTTTGTTTTGTTTTGTATATAAACAAATGTTAAGGTTTGGGTTTTTTCCTTTTTCTCCGGGTACAAGGGCTTGAACCAAGGACCTTTGCCCCTGAGCTCTATCAGCAGCCCTTTTGTTTATGTTTTGTGTGGAGACTTCTCTTGTCTCGCTCTTGGAGTCCAGGCTACCCTGGAACTCTGTTCCCCTGCCTTCATTTCAGCTGTCCCCAAGGCGTTGGCAGCTAGACTAGGCAAGCTCCCTCAGTCCTAACTCCAGATTTGGTTCTCTCCTTTTTTTTTTTTTTTTTTGGAGTGCTGGGAGATTGAATCTAGAATATTCTATATTTGGATTTTTATAATTACAAAATTCTTTTGTAAGAGTTGTGAAATCATGGGGCCAGGGATTTAACTCAGTGGTTTCTCCGCCTGCTGCGCAAGCACAAGGACCTGAGTTCGATCCCCGGTACCAAAAAAAAAAAAAAGAGTTGTGAAATCATAAGACTTCAATATCTGATTTGAGATAATAGACTAAATTTCTGTTCTAAGATATAGGGTGTTTTGGGAAACCTACCTGGTTAATTATATTCCCTTTTATTTATTCACATAATAATGGAATACTGATGTGATCACTATTCTTGTTACTTATTAAAATGGAAAAATCTTAGCAGACTTAAAACATAATGAATATGATCAACTAAGATATTATATAGCTCTTGATTTCAATTTAGTCCATTGTTACTTCCTTTTTGACTTGAAGGAAACTTGTCATGGGTTTGAATCATGTGATTGCATTCAGAACTGTTGAATGTTGACTTCACATTTGAACTTTACACTTGTAGTTAAGAGAAGTTCATGTTTTAAATAAGATATTGTAGGGCCGGGGATTTAGCCCAGTGGTTCCGTTGCCTGCCTCGCAAGCACAAGGACCCGAGTTCGATCCCTGGTACCAAAAAATAAAAAAATGTTTAAAAAAACCATAAAAAAATAAAAAAGATATTGTAATGAGCTTTTTCTTCTTACTTTTTCTTGTGGAAAATTTCCCCAAAAGTACAGAGAATTATAAAATGAACTTTGTGTACTTTTACCCACTTTCCACCTGTATTAACTCATGGTTAATACTGTTTTATTTATACCTCTCCTCATTCTCCTCTCAGTTATTTTGAAGCAGATTCCACATTTCATCTGTGAATATATCAGCCTTAGGGCTTAAAAAGTAACATACCTAAAAGAAATTAGTCCTAGTCTCTTAAAATCTATTACCTAGTTAGTGTTCAAATTTTTGTTTGTCTTTTCAAATCTTTATTAATGAAATGCATTTGTCAGAGTTTCACACAGTCTGAATTTTACTGATTGTATCATGGTTGGTGCATATCCCTCTCTTCCCTGTGAGGTGATAGATTAAGAAGCTTGAAGGTTTTATTTTTTCTTTTAACAGGAATATACTTTATAACTTTGAATATTTGTGTCACTGGGTTTAATGTTTATCTTTTTTGAGACATTAGCACCAATGGCAATCCATTATTTATATAAGTCCATTATTTTATTAGAGGTTATAAAATAGTCATGTTCAAATTATAGATCTTTTTTTTTTTTTAAACGGGGTCTTGTTATGTTGCTATGCTGCCCAGGGTGGCCTTGGGCTCAAAATAACCACCTACCTCAGCCTCCCAGGTAGCTGGGACTATAAATGTATACCTCTTTACCCAGAATACTTTTTTACCCCCGTAGTGAGGATTGAACTCAGGGCTTTTACACTGAGTTACATCCCCAGCTTTTTTCTCCTCTGGGAGTAGAGGTGGGGGGAGATGAAGACAGGGTCTTGCTAAGTCACTAAGTTCCCTAGGCTGGGATGCTCCTGCCTCAGCCTCCCAGAGTGCTAGAATTACAGGCATGCAGCACCAGACATGGCTTGAAAATACTTTTACAAATAACCCTTTTTTTTTTTGGTACCAGGGATCAAACTTGGGCCCTTGGGCTTTCAAGGCAGGCAGCAGAACCACTGAGCTAAATCACTAGCCCCTACAGATAAACCTTTTATTATCACTAGTTTGGTTACTCTGACATTTAGTTCATATAGGAAAGTAAGGATAAATACTTGGTTGTTTCCCTTTAACAATTCTTTTTTTAAAAAATGTTGGTTCTAGGGCTGGGGATTTAGCTCAGTGGTTTCTCTGCCTGCTGCGCAAGCGCAAGGACCCGAGTTCGATCGCCGGTATCAAAAAAAAAAAATGTTGGTTCTCTATCATCCTCCTGAGTTAACCTGCTTTAACTTTTCTTGTTTAGCTGCTGTCATGGCTTTCCTCATGGTACCCCACCCTGCTTTCTCTAGGTGTACTTTTATCTTCCTTTTTCTTCTTTTACTTGGCCCAAGCTCACTCTACAGAGCCAGTTTCTCCCTCACTGTTTGATTTTACTTTTTCAAATAAACTTCACCATTGCTTTTTGCTCATTAAAAAAAAACAAACTTTTCTTGTTTAGCAATGTATGATTTGTATTTCATTGCCATATCCTTTTATGTATGTCTCCTCCCTTTCGTCTTATCCCCGTCTCTCCTCCCCTTCCCCTAGTTCTTTAAATATAAGATTACTGGGGAGTAAGGGTGCAGCTCAGTGGTAGAGCGCTTGTCTAGCATGTCCAAGGCCCAGGATTCAATACCCAGCAATGCAAATAAAATAAATTAATATGTAGGAGGTTTTTTTGACACTTATGTTCTCTTTCAAAACATTTGTTTCACATGGGGATAGTGAATTTACATGAATTGGTGATTGTTGCTTCCACACAGTGAGGATATAAAATGTTTCAATTTGGTAATCATCTTTTGCGAATTATTTTCAAGGCTTCTGGAAGCAACACCTCCTTTGGAACACAGCGGTGTGAAAGGGTTAAAGTTGCTTTTGAGAACTACCAAAGCTTTTTCATTCATTGTGACTAAGGGTAGAGAGCAGTCTCTGTCTGGCTCAAAACTGACTATTTCCTTAGCGTCTGAGTGCCTGTTGCATTGTTACTTATCCTGTGTTTAAGCCATTTAAGTGTAAACCAAGTTCCTGGTTCATTAAATTTTGTTTTCTTCCTTATGTCCTAAATTGATTAGAAAAAAAATTCTTTTCCAAAACAAAAGTCAACAAACTGACTGAAACATGACTCACTCAGTGTTCTAAGGAAATTAAACATTTTTCCTGTAGTGAAAATTTACCCATCTTACTGTTGAGGTTTTTTTCTTTTCTTTCTTTCTTTTTTCTTTTTTTGGTACCAGGGATCGAACTCAGGACCTTGCACTTGACTGGGTTTTTTTTGTTTGTTTTTTGTTTTTTGGGGGGTTTTTTGTACCAGGGATCGATCTCTGGACCTTGCGCCTGCGAGGCAGGCAGCGGAACCACTGAGCTAAATCCCCAGCCCCTTGACTGTTGTTTTTAAGGGGCTTCCAGGCCACAGTTTGTTAGAAATTCTAAAACAACACACACACACACACACAAGTATCGGAGTGAGAGCAGCATCTAAAATGGCACATTTCCTAGAGAATATTAATCGAACAGCTGTTCTGGTGAATTCTTATTACTAAGTCATTTGTATATCAGGAAAGCAGTCGAGGGACTGAGAAAAATAATAGAACTGGGCTGGGGATTTAGCTCAGTGGTGCCGCTGCCTGCCTCACAAGTGCAAAGTCCTGAGTTTGATCCCCAGTGCCAAAAAACATAAAATAAAATAGCAGAACTAAGGGGAGATGTGAGATGAGTGCCAGCAGAGTGCCGAGGATTTTCTAAGAGTTCTGTATATTACCTTGCTTGCCACTGTAGAATTGGTGTTAGGGCCAGGATTCAAGCTCTTAACCTTTCGATTGTGTAGCTTAGTGATACAAAAGAGTGTAGCTTTGTTAAGCATCTGTGCATTAGAAACAGGACCTCATTCTGAGCATTTTGGTTTCACCTAGGGTATTGGTACAGCAATCGGAGAGCTGCCTCCATATTTCATGGCCAGGGCAGCTCGCCTCTCAGGTGCTGAACCTGATGATGAAGAGTATCAGGAATTTGAAGAGATGCTGGAACATGCGGAGTCTGCACAGGTAAGAACAGTGGGGAAACAGAACACTCTCCGAAGAGGTTGTTATTAAGGGAAACTGTTAATAGTTACTCTAATGAAGAAAACTCGTAAAGTGAGAACAAAATGAGATATGACTTGGGGTAGAATATTCAGAAAAGCTGAAAAAAATGATGAAAAACAAGAAATAATAAAAATAAAAATGAGCTGGGCGTGGTGGCACATACCTGTAATCCCAGCATTCAGGAGCTGAGGCAGGATGATTGCCACAAGTTCAAGGCCAACCTGGGCTACACAGTGAGTTCAAGGCTAACCTGAACTGCATGGCAGGATCCTGTCTCAAAAAGGCAAAAATAGGGCCAGGGATTTAGAGGCACTAAATCTCAGTGGCACTGTGCCTGCCTGACAAGTGCCAAGGTCCTTAGTTCGATCCTCAGTACCAAAAAAAAAAGTTATTAAAGCTTTCAGCTGCCAAGCAATAAGGAGTATTAAACTTAACAATATCAGAACTTTCTTTTTAAAAAATATTTAACAGTTCAGACTTTTTAGCAGTCCAGTTAGCCTTTGTCCCTGTCAGATGACAGTATCCTCAGACCAGGCAAGGTATGGGTCCCTAACACTAAATTCCTGTCTTAACCACTCCATAATGTCGTTTGCTGAGGCTTTTTTGACCTCAGTACAATCTGTGTATCAACTTCTCAGTGTTTCAAAGTAGTTATTTTATCCTCAGGAAGATTCCTGACACCATTGTTAGATGATTGAGTCTTTACAGGTGAGCTTAGAAAGCAACCTAGATATAAATAAAATGGATTTTAAAGAGAGATGTTTGAATTAATTTACATAAAATACATCTTCAGTCAGATTTGTTTGTTAACCATGGAATTAAGTATTTTTCTGGCTGGGCATGATGGTACATGCCTGTTATCCCAGCACTTGGGAGGCTGAGGCAGGAAGTTCGCTGCCAGTTCGAGAGCACCTTGTGCTACATAGTGAGCTCCAGTCCAGCCTACACTACAAAGCAAGGCCCTGTCTCAAAATACACACACACACACACACACACACACACACAAATGCATTTTTTTTCTTACTGTTGTGTGTTTGTAAGGAGATAAATCCACACCAGTGCCCCCCCCCATTTTTTATAAATGAATGATTTCACAATTTTCTTCTTGGGAATCAGAGACCTCCTAAATGAGAAAAAGAAATTTTAACATCAGATGGGCTATTAAAATAAAAACTTTATTTTTTAATTTTTTGGTTGAGACAGGGTCTCCCTATGTAGCCCCGGCTGGCCTTGAACTCGTGGCAATCCTCCTGTTTCAGCCTCCCAAGTACTGGGATTACAGGTGTGCACCACCATATTTGGCCAGAAAAAGAATATTTCCAAGTGGAAATAAACCAAATGTTTTGGTAGATTATAGTTAGAAACACAAATTTCAGCGTGAATATAGAATAGCCAAATATAGAACAAATGAAGTAAAATAAAGAACCATGTGCCAGACATGGTGATGCATGCCTGTAATCCCAGCACTCTGGAAGCTGAGGCAGGAGGATCACTGTAAGTTGGAGACCACCCTGGGCGACATAATGAGTTCAAGGCCAGCCTGGACTATATAGCAAGATCCTATGTTTAAAAAAAAATGTATAGGACTGGGTGTTTAGCCCAGCAGCACAGCACCTGCCTGGCAAGCACAAGGTCCTGAGTTCAATCCCCGGTACAAATAAAAAGAAAAACAAAAATGTATGGACAACGTTTTCAGTTACATTTGCATTGATGGTGCAGCTCAGTTGCAGAGCACTTGCCTAGGGTACATGAGGCCCTTGATTCCAGAAACAATTTTTCAATGTTTTTAATAATTTAAATCTAGAATATATGTGACTTTGTCATAACTCTGAGGTAGTATGAAAAGGTACCATTCTTCTAATTTATTGGAAAACTGAAGGTCTAAAAGTTGTTCCCTTCCTAATTTCACATGCTTAAAAATAGAACCCAAGGCCGGGGATTTAGCTCAGTGGTTTCACTGCCTGCTGCGCAAGCGCAAGGACCCGAGTTCGATCCCCGGTACCAAAAAAAAAAAAAAAAAAAAATAGAACCCAGACTCAGAATGCCAGCATCACTGGTGTATTCCAGTTACTGAATCAGCCCATCCAGGAAGTAGGTGGATGAGTATCCCTACTTCTCACAGCTGATGCCTCCTCTACTGTGGCACTAATATGAGTGTCCATCATTTAACAACTCTAAAACTTTTTCAGTCATACTAAATCAACAAGTTGAAATAGGATAACTGTAGCTTGCAGCTAAAGAGATTTATGTCATGTCCTCTTAAGCCAACTAATGTGCTCTGATTAGTTTTCCTTTTTTTAAGGTTTTTTTGGGTTTTTTGCTTTGTTTTGGTTTTTTTGGAATTAACTTTTTTTTTTCATTTGCATGGTTTCTTTAAATCTCTAGCTTTTCTCCTCTCCTTCCACCAGCTCTGTAAAAACATCTTTGATATCACTTCCTATTTGGTAATCTATAAAATAATATCAATTGTGCCAGGTGCAGTAGCTCATGCTATTTGGGAGGCAGAAGCAGGAGAATCCCAAGTTCAGGCCAGCCTAGGCAACTTAGCAAGACCCTAACTCAAAAAATAAAAGGGACTGGGGGTGGGATGGGTGGCTCAGGGGTACAGGGGCAATCAGCACTGTAAATAATCCTTCTTGTCATGGAGTCCCCACTCCAGAGCCATCCAGGCCCCCTTTCCCAGCTGAGTTTGCTGGGGTTGGTTTGTTTAATATGTGATGGTAGTGCATAATGTTTACATTCCTTGTGGGTAGCTGGTACATGTACGTAAAACATCTTAATTCCTTGTTTTATCCCCTTCCCTTCCCACTCGCCATTTTTCTGACCTTCTGCAGTTGCTTCTCCCTCAGGTTGGATTTCCTGTCTATCTCAACATTTCTCCCCTTTTGGTCAAACACATTCTGCAGTCACTTCCTAAGGACGAGTGAATGCAAAATGGGGAATGCCTTCCGTCTAACAGGCTTATTCTACCCTCATTGATTAACCGAATTCAGAGTCCTAGGGAGAATATTGTTTTTGTGCGTAAAATCTGGAAGGCACTGTTCAGTTGTCTTCAGGCCTCAGCTGTTGGTCTTGAGAGGGTTGGTACCTTCTAAGCCCTCTTTATTGACAGTATTTTTGTTTGGGTTTTTCTCTAAAGCTTTTAATTTCATCATCTGAGATCTTATTTAAATTTATTCTGCTAGGTGCTCAGAAAACTTGCCAACCTGGACTTCATTACTTTTAGGGAATGTTGTTGTATTTTTTCCATGAAAGTTTCCCTCTTTAGTCTCTACTCTTCTTGGAATTCTGGTTACTTTGATGTTGAGCTTCTTATACCCATCCTTTAAATTCTTTTTTAATCTTTGTGCTCCTGATATTTATATTTTACTTTCTAAAAAGTTTCCTCAAATTTATCACCTCGCTCGGGTACTCATAATTGAACCCAGTGCCTTCACATTGATCTGCATGCCCAGTTTGTTCTTTATTTTTTATTTTGAATGTATTTGTTTATTTGAAACAAGGTCTCACTTTATAGTGGAGGCTGGCCTTGAACTCACTATGTAGCCCGTGCAGGCCTCAGACTGGTGGGGATTCTCCTGCCTCACTCAGCCTTCCTGGTGCTGGAATTAGAGGCATGTGCCGCCACAGCTGGCTCTCATGTTTATCTTCTAAGTCTTATATTAAAATGTTTTTTCTGCTGTTATATATAACCTGTATTTCTACGAAATAGTTTATCTTTTTGAAAATATCTTTTGAAGATATTTTCTCCAAATTTCCTGTTGCTCCAGGCATTGAATTTTCTGTCTGTTCTATTTGGGGTTGGAGAGCTGGGAATGTAGCTCAGTGGCACTGTACCTGCCTGGTAAGAGCAAAATGCTGAGTTCGATCCCCAGTAGTAGGGAAAAAAAATGTATTTGGGATTGGAAGCTCTCCTTAGAGCCTGACGTACGTGCGTGTGTGTGTGTGTGTGTGTGTGCGTGCCTGCGCGCGCGCCCGTGCACATGAATAACGCACCTTAAAGATGAATGGAAGCTTATACCATGTATTATGCAATGAAGTGTCAGGCTGACTAGCTTATTGGAAACTTCCATGTATCTCTTGTTGATCTTTTCTTTAGAGTAGTTCAGTTTCTCCAATGACCAATCCTCTAATACCCTTCCGGGGAATGTGAACCTTGCTGCTGGCAGTGTAACACTAGGCCGAAGTGTGGTGGTTAGAGATCTCCATTTAGTATGTAGTCTTTCCCTAACCCACTGTGTGTTCAGTCTCTGGATACTGAAGGTACGAATGTACACAGGTAGGAGCACGAATGTGTCCTGAGCCCAGAGCCCCTTCTTTGCTTTGCTTCAAGACCAAATTTGATGTCTTCAATGGGACTGGGGCGTCACCTGGCTGTGCTGAGTAAGGGAGGGACCGGGGAGTTTGCTTATGTAACCTCCTTGGTTTCGGCCTCCCTGCCTTCCCACAGCTCTGGTGAAGAGCTTTTCTGGGCTTCTGTTGGGCAAATCACTTTGCTTCTCTTCCATGACTTCCCCTATAGATTCGCAGGTAAAATATTTTCTTCCATCTGTTCTTGTCCTCATTAATTATGAGTTTCATCAAAGACTATTCATATTTCTGTTTTCTGTATTTTGGGATTATTTTAAGATAGGAATATCTTATGAATTATCAGGTGATGAGTAGCAGATCCCCCTAATATTTAGTGGTTTAAGATAAGACCACCCATTCATGTAGCTCTTGGTTGTGTGGTGGATGCCTTGTTGCATGTAATACCATTGTACCATCCCATCCATACCACTCCCAACTTTGGCTAGAATAGCAGGCAAAAAGACTCATTTTATTCTTTGCAGTTTTTTGATTTGTGGGATGACCTTATTGCCACTTAAAAGCCCAATTCCAAAAACTCTTGTGGAATTTGATGAAGAGGTAAGTTATGCTTCATCTTATCAATATAATTTGAGCTCTTGAAGACTTTGACCATTTCTTCTTACTAAAATAATGCTCTTTCAGAATAATACTCTTTTTCATTCCTCTCTTACGGCCCTGATTATTTTAGTTGCTTTTTCACTGGATCATTTCTAGTTTATCTTTGTCTGTTTTGAGTCGTGGAAATTAGACTGTACATAATACTCCTACTGGTTATGAGGTTTTGTTGTTTGTAATCCCATAAGGCCAATGATTATAACCACTATTTTAGGATAACTATATTTATTTCCCAATTTCATATTTGTTTATACTGAAAAACCAAGTAAATAAAATGTACACATCATTTCATGTCCTTTAAATCAGAAATCATGTACTCTTTTTTTTTTTTTTTTTTGGTACCAGGGATCGAACTTGGGACCTCGTGCTTTCGAGGTAGGCAGCGGAACCACTGAACTAAATCCCTGGTCCAGAAATCATATGCTCTTTACAAATACTTTATTTAAAATTGTTATTCAGAATTTCAATATGTACTGTTAACTAATAGGCGACCTAGGAAATAATTAGCTGAAATAATATGTTAAGAGAGAAAGGATGTTACAACTCTGTGGTCTTCCATATTAATTTTCTTTCTAAGGATAATAAGATTTGTATACTAGGCAGTTGAGTGACTTATCTCCTCACAATTGTGAAGTAAAAGGTATTATCCTTGTTTTGGGGCATTTTGTATTTTTAGTAGAGATGAGGATCTCCCTGTGTTGACCAGGCAGGGCTGAATTCCTGGGCTCCAGGCATCCTCCCGCCTGAGCCTCTCTGGTAGTCACAGCTACCAGCCAGCACCAGCCACTGGGCTTATCCCTGATTTGGATAAGGAAGCATCCTGAGGGACACACCCTATGATTCTCAGAGCCAAAACCCAACTGTTTTCTCACTGTGATGTTAGTGCTCTGCTACCATACCAAAATTTAGCCACATTTTCACATGGGTTAGCACATTAAAAAAATGAATTAATTGAAAAATTTTCTCCTATATTTGATTTGATCTAAATTTTCTTTATTTTCTTTTATGCTTTTTTTTCCACTGGCTTCCTTAAATTTCGTGGCTTATAATTTTTGTTCTACACATATGACTTGGTATAGAGAATTTTTTTGTTTTTGTTTATTCTTGGCCTAGCCCTGTAGAGCATTACTATACTCAGGTAAGATCAGGTATGTTTCTGATGTTTTCATGCACTGGTGTGCTGCATTCAGGTTTTGTTTCTACAGTTTTTACTCTGCAAATAAATATAATATGACAGTTTCAGAGGGTTTGTTTGTCTTGGGGTTTGGGGCGCCTTGCATTGAGCTCAGCCCTTTTTACTTTCTATTTTGAGACAGGATCTCACTAAGTTGCCCAGGCTGAGCTTGAACTTGGCATCCTCCTGCCTCAGCCTTTCAGTGTCCTGAGATTACAGGCACATGCACTGTTTTACTTGTAAATACACTATCTTAAAAACACCTTGAGTGTTTAATCATACATTTGTTTTAGATTCTTCGCTCTCATTTTCAGATTTGACATAAAGTTTAAAAAGTGAAATCCACACATATGCTCATCAAAGAGGCTATCAATCATATTCTAGGCTGGGTATTTTAATTTTTGTTCTTGAGGGTTTTTTTTTTCTTTTGTTGGTGTGTTTTGTTTCAGTTTTCTTCCTTTCTTTAACTGTAGGTGAAAACAGCAGATAAAATAACTGAGTGGTTATTTAAAGATTACCTGAGAATAAGTTAGAAAATGTGTTTCTTTTTTTAAGATAAAGCACTTCAGCAGCATAACTTTATCAACAGGAAAAGGGAAAAAAATCTTGGCACTGGTTGCTTTGCCATATACTCTCCAAGTAGGTTAAAGGGTGTGTGTGATTTTACTAAGAAATCTTTACAAGTTGAAAAGTTTAAAGCTAAGTATTTGCTCAAATTCCACTTTTGACTGTTGGTTAGATTTCATATGATAGCTGTTTTGAGAGAAATAAGCCACAATTAAAACATTTATTTGTATTCTGATTTTTTATGATACCTGATTTATTTTCATGAGTACAATATCAAGATTGGGCAGTATTTTTCCACTAAACCGGCTTCCTCTTGCTTTTGGCTTTCTGTCTTGTTTTCACAAGATATCTGTGGGAGGCATGCGTGAATCAGTGGAGCTTCCTATGCCCTTGAGCAAGCCTAGCATTTATAAAAGTTAATCTAGATAGCTATTCATGTGCTTTGTGAATTATTCCATACAAGGCTTGATTGTTATCTTTATGATCATTTTCTCCTTTGTTCTTGATTTCTATTAATGCTCACAGTCAGTCCAAGTTAAAATCTGAGTTATCATCTTTGTGTTTAATATGTAGCACCAAAAAAGGTAAATAAAAACAAATAAAGACTGAGTTCTCTGACCCCAAATCCCATGGATTCTGCCTCCACTGTCTCCATCACCCACCCTCTCCTTCTGAACTACTGCTTCAGACCTTTACTAGCCCTTCCTCAGCATTCCTAGTGGCTCCCCAAATGGCTCAGTCTACCAGTTTTCCCCAATCTTTTCTCACAGAAAACAACAAAAAAGTACATTCTGAAAAATGCATCTGCTTGTGCAACTTTGCTACTCAAAAATATCTGGCTCCCAGTTGTATATAATGTGAAATCTAAACTCTTAACACAGTTTCCCTTATTACTAATTCATTCCTACTGACAGATCATCCTCATCTCCCCTTTAACATTTTGTATCCCCTGTATTGATCATTTTTGCTTTCGTTTTTTGAAGCACAGGGCATTAAACCCAAGGAAGGCCTCACACATGCTACGCAAAAATTGTACTAAGCTATACCCCTGGCCCAACATTGATGTCTTTCAAATTGAACTTTGAAAGACTATTATACCTCAAAAAACCCCCAAAATTTTGTTAGGAGGTAGAGGCAGGAGGCTTGTCGCAAGTTTGAGGCCAGCCTAGGCTACATAGTGTGTTCAAGCCAGCCTGAAGTACATAGCAAGACTGAGCCTCAAAAAAACCCACAAAAAACAAAAACTGGGCGTAGTAGCCCAAACCTGTAATCCCAGCACTCAGAAGGCTGAGGCAGGAAAATTGCCACTAATTTAAGGCCAGCCAGGGCTATATAGTGAGTTCAAGGCCAGTCTGAACTACTTAGCAAGATGCTGTCTGAAAAAAACAAATAACAACAAAAAACAAACGAAAAATTGTATGTGCATAAAAATTATTTTTAAATAAAGACCTCTGAAATTTTTAAGTTTAAAAGTTGGTACTCTTAGCTTGACATGGTGGTGCGTGCCTGTAATCTCAGCACTCCAGAAGGCTACCAGTTTGAGCCCAGCCTAGGCAGTTTAGCAATTTAGAAAGACCCTGTCTCAAAATACAAAATAATAAAAGGGGCTGTGGTAAAGGTCTTGGACTCAATCCCCAGTACCAAAAAAGAAAAAGAAATGCTGCTCTTGTTACAGAAAACCATGACGATTTATTAAACTTGCAAAAAATTTTAAAAATTGCTCCTCTGATGAATTAGAATAATTCACCTCCACTCACACAGCTATGCAGTATGGTTCTTTTTCATAACTGCTTGCAGTGTTGTTTTCTCCCATCTGCGTATGTCTACTTTCTTAATTCTTTTCCTGGCAGCTTCCTCATGAAGTATTTGATGACTCCCTTCCTACTCTACCTCGACTCTTCCACTTCTAACATTGTTTCTCCTGAATCCCTCTAGCATCCCAAGTATACCTTCCTTATGCCACTTTATCACTATCTGCCTTCTTTTAATGCTATTTATGGATTATTCTTATCTCTCCCAGGAATCTGTAAACTGCTTGAGAGGAGGCCCCAAAAATGTCTTTTCAACAATGCCTGCCTAGTCTTGTACCCACAGTGTTCATGCAGTAAATACTTTGACTAAATGATGAAATATTAATTAAGAGAGAAAATGTAGCATATGAAACACGTTCACTTAATATTCCATCTTACTCTGCCACAGGATAAGGTAAAATGCAGCAAACACAAATCATTTTACATAAAAAGGAAGATTTTACTATCTTATGTCTTTGAATTTAATAATGATCTGAGAGCAAGGGTTGAAGATAGTCAAAGATATCAATTTAAATGACTTGCAAGTTTTAACTCATACTGAATAAAGTAACTTTGTAAAATTCTATAGTTTGGAAACAAGTGGGAACTGGGCACAGTGATATGTGCCTGTAATCCTAGCTATTTGGGATGCTGAGGCAGGAAGGTTGCAAATTCAAGGCCAGTTTAGCAGGATCTGTCTGGGCAAGATTTAGCCTGGGCACTTTAGCAAGATCTGTCTCAAAAATAAAATGCAATGGGGACCGGAGATTTAGCTCAATGGTTCCGCCACCTGCCTCACAAGCACAAGGTCCCGAGTTTGATCCCCGGTACCAAAAATATATATATAAATAAAGTAAAATACAATGAACTAGGGGTGTAGTTAAATAATAAAGCTCTTGCCTAGTATGGTGAGGTGTTGGGTTCAATCCCTACTACCTCAAAAAAAAAAAAAAAAGAAGAAAGAAACGGAGGCTGAGAACATAGCTGAGTGCTAGAGTTAGAGTAAGTGCTTAAGCATGTGCTAGGCCCAAGGTTCAATTCCTGGCTATGTAACCAGAGAAAAAGAAAAATTACAACATGTTAAGAGTAAAAGTTTGAAAAATAAGATAACTTGTTTGTTTTTTGTTTCCTAAAAGATTAGTGCAGCCAGTGTTACTAATGGAATGGAATGGGAGTCTGGGGGTGGTTGTGGTATTTTGTATTTAATGCCTACCCAATAGGGTAGGAATGCTGTATGTATTTCCTTAGAAGAATATGTTTTGAGTAAGATTGCCAAAATGCTGCCTGTCCCAATGACCTGCCACTTGTATTCTTTCAGAGTGTTGGGATGATGACTGTGAAGTTTACTGTTGCCTTTTACTGATGTAAGATTCAGAAATTAAAACTTAAATCAGAATTGTAGAGGTCTTAAGCCTTCACTTTTTAGAAGAATGCTCTATTTTCCTCCATCTTCCTATTGAGTATCAGTCAAGAGTCTGTAAGCCAAGGTTGCGCATTTTCTCAAAGGCTGTTTTATAGTGTCCAGGTTTAATCTTACTTTAAGGGAGCGTTTTTATGTTTGATTTGATTGAAGTATTTAAATTAATATTTGCCACTTAATTTGTATATTGAAACTAAATTCCCAAATTAAGTCCTAGTATCTTTTCCCTTACTAGTTTGTATTAAATTTATTTAAGGCCAAAAATTTTTTCAGCTTAATAGGAGACCTTTTCCTATTCAGAAATTGCAAGTTATTTATATTATTTTAGTAGTGAAAACATATAAAAACCAAAAAAAGTTCATCAGTTGTTATGGTAGTTCTTATAGCCAGCACCTTTTCTTTTTATGCAGTGAAATAGACATTT